TGTCCCTGTCCCCTCCCTGAACCACTCCTCGGCCATACCTGTGGTCACCCCAGCTGGTGACCCCTCCTCTGGCTGCACGTGGGCTCCTCCCCGCTGCTCTGCGTCCCACATCACTGCAGGGGGACGCTGGGGACCACAGGGACACTGGGAGGCTTGGAGGAGTTGTGGTGGCAGCAAGACCCTTGCATGGGCTGTCCCTGATGAGCGTGGGCCACCAAGGCCACCACTGCCTGGCCACCGAGGGCATCACTGGAGGAGGGGAGTGGGACAGCACAGTGGGACCCCCCCAGGGAGGGGTGGGACCCTCTCTGTGGGCAGTGGATTTGGCTCGCTGGGAGCAGGGCCAGGCACAGCCGTGGCTCTGCAGATCCCCTGTCCCCACTGTGTTCCCGCTGTCCCCCCAGGCACTGCCAGGGCCTCTCAAAGGCTGTTTGTGTGCAAAGTGTTCCGGGTGGTTTGGGGAGGGTTGGCAGAGCCCTGCACCATCTGGGTCAGGGCAGGGGCTGAATAACAAGTGCTGCCCTGACCCAGATGCGCCACAGAGCCTTTGCCAGCACGTGGTGGGGGTGGTGGATGGTGGGAAAGGGCTTTTCTCGTGCCCCCTGGAGCAGGGTGGGACCATGGAACGGGCTGTGCTGGGGGTTGCAGCCCCCAGGGAGGTCTGTGCTGGGCCTGTGGAACCCTGCCAGGCTCATGTTTCTCCCCTGTCACAATTTTCCGTGGTGAAGGGACAGCCTGTGGGTTTTGGGATGTGTCTTGACTGTCCTTCACCTGTCACAGGTGTTGGCTCCTTCCTCCTGTACTCGGTGCACGAGGGGATCCGGGGCATTCCCCTGGACCCCAATGACAAGTCGGATGCTCTCGTGCCGGTGTCGGGGACCTCCCTGGCTGTGGGAATCGACTTCCATGCAGGTGATGCAGGGCTGGGAGCAGGATAGAGGGGCTGGGAACAGGGCAGGGGACAAGGAGCATGAGGGGACCATCACCAGACCTCGCTTTGGTGATGCTTTGTCCTGGAACTCCTTCTTGGCAGTGCTGGGTGAGGGAGGATTCTGGGGCCCTGGGGTGGTTTTTACCATTCTGGAGTGACCAGAGGTGGTCACTGACTCATCCCCTCCTTGTCCCTCTCAGAGAACGACACGATTTACTGGGTGGACATGGGCCTGAGCACCATCAGTCGAGCCAAGCGGGACCAGACGTGGCGTGAGGACGTGGTGACCAACGGCATTGGCCGTGTGGAGGGCATTGCTGTGGACTGGATTGCTGGTGGGGATCCATGGGGCTCTGGAGCTGGGGGCAGTGGGGGCAGTGGGGCTTGTGTGGGGATTCACCATCCCCTCCTGCAGGAAACATCTACTGGACGGACCAGGGCTTTGATGTCATCGAGGTGGCCAGGCTGAACGGGTCCTTCCGCTACGTGGTCATCTCACAGGGGCTGGACAAGCCACGGGCCATCACAGTCCATCCAGAGAAGGGGTGAGACACCGCCCCAGAGAGGGGCATCACCTGTGGGATGGGCACAGGGTGAGACCCCCCACACCTCCTGGCAGAGCTGTGTGTGTGCACACAGCAGGGAAGGACTCGCAGGTCTCCTACCACACCAAGGAGTCCAAGCCCTGGATTTAACCCTCCTTTCACTGATGGGCTGAACTCCCTGGGAGCCCCTGGGACCTGGTGGTTGCCCTCACCTCAGAAAATCCGAGTGGAGCCTCCTCAGACTGGCTCCAGCTTTGGGCAGAGCCCCAGGGAGAGCAGAGGTGTTTGGATGTGGGGAGGGATGGAGGTGCAGGGGATGTGATGCCAGGTCTGTGAGCGGGCAGGGTCTGGATTGGGTCCTCAGCGTGGGGGGGTGAATGGGATGGTGTCTGTCCTTTACTCAAAGGCGCTCCAGGTGACAAACCTGTGGTGACATCCCTGCTGTCCCCTCAGGTACCTGTTCTGGACGGAGTGGGGGCAGTACCCCCGCATCGAGCGCTCGCGCCTGGACGGCACCGAGCGAATGGTGCTGGTCAACGTCAGCATCAGTTGGCCCAATGGGATTTCCGTGGACTACGAGGTACAGTTGGCATCTGGGAGGGTGGTACCAGTCCCAAGAGTCCCTGTGGCCCTGTCCTGCTGCTGGGGACATGATTGCCCTCCTTGGGGCTCCAGAGTGTCCAGAGTGGCCTGAACCCCAGGACATCCTGCCAGAGGAGCAGAGGATAGTGCTACCCCGATGCCAACTGGGACGTTCTCTCATTCCCACAGGATGGGAAGCTGTACTGGTGTGATGCCAGGACAGACAAGATCGAAAGGATTGACCTGGAGACGGGCGAGAACCGAGAGGTTGTCCTGTCCAGCAACAACATGGACATGTTCTCCGTGTCGGTCTTCGAGGAATACATTTACTGGAGCGATAGGTGCGGTGCCAAGGGGGCTGGGGGCTGTGTGGAGGGTGGGGGCAGCTGGTGAGTGCAAGGTGGGGAAGGGTCCTGTGCTGGTCACTCAGGGACTCTGTCCTCCCTCAGGACTCACGCCAACGGCTCCATCAAAAGAGGCAACAAGGACAACGCCACCGAGTCGGTGTCCCTGCGGACTGGGATCGGCGTGCAGCTCAAGGACATCAAAGTCTTCAACCGGGCCCGGCAGAAGGGTAGGTGTGAGCATGGGGGGCAGCTCCTCACGTGGGAAATGGGGATGGAAACAAATGGGTCACTCTAACACTGGAGCTGTGGTTTGAGCCTGTTGCTTCCTCTGGGAGTGCTGAGCGCTGAAAGCAGCCGAGTGGGTGCATCCTGCCCAGTCCCTCACCCAATCCCCCCTGTCCCCCCACAACCAGGCACCAACATCTGTGCCCAGAACAACGGGGGCTGCCAGCAGCTGTGCCTGTTCCGTGGCGGCGGGCAGAGGACGTGTGCCTGTGCCCACGGGATGCTGTCGGAGGACGGCGTGAGCTGCCGGGACTACGACGGGTACCTGCTCTACTCGGAGCGCACCATCCTCAAGAGCATCCACCTCTCGGATGAGAACAACCTCAACGCTCCCATCAAGCCCTTCGAGGATGCAGAGCACATGAAGAATGTCATCGCCCTGGCCTTCGATTACCGCTACGGCTCCAAGGGCAGCAACCGCATCTTCTACAGCGACATCCACTTCGGCAACATCCAGCAGATCAATGATGATGGCACGGGGCGCAAGACCATCGTGGAGAGTGAGTGCTGTGGGCTTCTCCCTTCTGTGCCTGCCCTCAGACCCGTCTTTCTCTCCCTCACCTCCTCCTGCACTCCCTCTGTTCTTGCCCCAGGGGTTGTGGTGGGTTTGGAGGTGTTTGGAGGGGTAGTGGGTGCAGGCTGAGCTGCGATTTCTGAGGAGCCTCTGGAAGTGGACAAAGGCACTGGGAGCAGCCTGCAGAGCTCGTTCTGGCACAGAGAGTGTGTCACGAGGTTTGGGCTCTAGAAACAGGCACTGCAGCGAAGTTGAGATCGGCTCTGTGCTCACACTCACCTCCTGAGGCAGCACCCTAAGCCCTGACCCTCGGGGTGCCCAGCCCTGGCCTCACCTCCAGGCCAGCTGCAGCAGCTTCAAAGAGCCATGGTTGCTGCTCCAGGAGCTCCCTGAGTCAGGGCCTTGGATGTGCTGCTAATGAGGGAATTCACAGCAGTGCTCATGGTGCTTTAACCCTGAGAGGGGAGAGCACGACCCAGCTCTCACAGCCACCTCATTAAACCCTTTGCCAGCGTTAATGAGAGGGGGAGGATGGGTGCACAGTTCAAGTTCCCAGCTGGGAAGGGCTCCCGGGTCCCCACCAGGCTTTGCCTTGTCACTTTGTGCCCCGGGGCCTCAGGTGCCCCCTGGCAAAGGGAAACCCTTCACTTCCCAGCTCTGTTGCTGTGGACCAAGAGCAAGGTCTGGCAGGTGTGGAGTTTGAGAGCCAAATTCAAATCTTTGCTGCATTGTAGGTGTGCATCCCTCAGCCTTCCTGCAAGGGAGGGTCATTCCAGCAAAGCTCTACCCATGAGACTCAGAGGTCTGAGCACAGCCACCAGTCCTGCCAAGTCCCCGCCCAGCAGCCAAAGCCTCTGAGGGATTTTTGTGCTGTAATTAAAAGCAAAAATTTCAACATCCCAGTGTCAGGGTCAGCACTGGCCATCCAGGGTGAGCTGCAGCCTTGCAGGGGTCCGGGCTGGGTGTGACTCTGCTGTCCCCACAGATGTGGGCTCAGTGGAGGGGCTGGCATACCACCGTGGCTGGGACACGCTGTACTGGACGAGCTACACCACGTCCACCATCACCCGGCACACCGTGGACCAGAGCCGGATCGGGGCCTTCGAGAGGGAGACCGTGATCACCATGTCAGGGGACGACCACCCCCGGGCCTTCGTGCTGGACGAGTGCCAGAAGTGAGTGGCCACTGAGGGTCCAGCCAGCCCCACCAGGGATCCACATCCAGCACAGAGAGGATTGGACCCCCAGGGAGGAACGACCCTGTAGCCCCCTCCTCACAAATCCTTCAGCACACCAAAGCTGCTCCAGACCCTCCATCCCACCCATCCCACATTTCCCAGCAGCCTCATTCACCCCCTTCTCACTCTTTTTACGTGGGAATGATGTCCCATGCATCCCCCAGTCCCTGGAAGCCCCCCAGCCGTGGAGGGATGGGCTGAGCCAGCCTGGATGTGGCTGAGCTGGGGCTCCAAAGGTGTTGTGTGTCCCTCCCTCCCCAGCCTGATGTTCTGGACCAACTGGAATGAGCAGCACCCCAGCATCATGCGAGCCACCCTGTCCGGTGCCAACGTCCTCATCATCATCGACCAGGACATCCGGACACCCAACGGGTTGGCCATTGACCACAAGGCTGAGAAGATTTACTTCTCTGATGCCACCCTGGACAAGATCGAGCGCTG